TCTTCATGTTCTAGAGTTATTAATTCAAATTATTAATCCCAAAAATGGCCATGTTTAAGGCAAATACATCGTTTAGAATTATAGTATGTGAATGCAAAATTGTTCGTAAAACTAAATAAAACTGTTAGTTCCAGAGTGACTAATAAGCAATATTAACTTGAACAAGTTTATGTGTTAAATGAGTTCTACCACCAGTTAACTGTTCTCAAGAAAGCGCGTTCGACAGATATTGTAGTATTAGCCGGAGACTTGAATGCACAGGTCGGGCGTCTAGGCACAGAAGAGAGTCGTTTAGGTGGCCGATGGGGAATTGTTTGTCGCAGGACAGATAACGGGGACCGCTTACTGCAACTATGCACAGACCACAACCTGTTTCTGGCTAGCACTAACTTCCGGCGCAGTCATCGCCGGTGTGCCACCTGGCGTCCTTCCACTGTATCTCAAGCCTGGACTCAAATTGATCACATCGCGATCAGCTACCGCTGGCGTGGTTGTGTACAAGAATGCCGCTCCTTTTGGAGTACCTATCTGGAGTCTCATCATGCCCTGGTCTGCGCCAATCTCACCTTACTTTTCAGTGGCCGAAGAATTGAACGCCATCAACGGATCGATGTTAGTAAACTGGCTGCACCTTCTGTTGCAAGTAAGTATCGAACAGAGTTAGCTTCTAGACTAGCTAGCATCCCAACGAAAAGTATAGATGAACATTGGTTGCAACTTCATAACGTCATGAAAATGGCGAGTAAAGCCGCTTGCGGCTTCGCAAACCGTCCCGCTTATAAGCACTGTGTTTCTTCAGGCTCCTTACAACTGATGGAAGCCCGTCGGTCTACTCCGAGTGACCGTGAGTTTGACCACAAACGAAGAATGTTACGAAATGAAATTGGGAAAAGCTTGTGTGAGGAACGAGAAGCCTGGTGGTCGGAGCGTGCTAATGAGATAGAAGCAGCAGCTGCAACTGGTAACTGCCGGAAGCTCTTCCAACTCATCCGAGCCACTGGCAGCAAGAAGTCCGGCGTGAGTGAAACAATCTGTGAAAATGACGGGATGCCAATTACTAACATCTGTCGACGTCTTGAATGACGGACGGAATTTTTTGAAGGGCAGTTCAACTGGCCTGCTGCTTCGGCAACATCGACCAGTTTTTCCTGCCCCCCATGGCCGGTGACGACTGATCTACCAAACGAGGAGGAAGTCCGCAAAGAACTCCAACTCCTGAAACGCTACAAATCACCGGGCCCAGACGACTTACCTCCGGCTGAGGTCCGAGAGGTGGTGCAACACAGTGGCTAGAGACGTTATCAGATATGGCTCAGAATAGAAGCCAGTGGCGAGCCTGCTGTAACCTTCTTTTACTTTCTTCATAAAGAGTGGTTCTAACTCTCTTAACTGAAAGAGTCTTCCGGTTGTACATTTCAATCCCCTTTTTTTCATCCTTCCCTCTTCCTATTTTCATTGTTTTGTGTGGCGCATATGTATCTGGTGCTCTTTTGTACCAATATGTATGTGTTTAATTAAATAAAAAATAAATAAATGAGATTGTTCAATATTAAAAAATTTAGTGCAAACGGATCATACAGCTAATATGGAACAGTCATTTACAGTGATATAACGTGTTAATAGCTATCTGTATGGATCCATAAGACGAAGAGTCTTTAGGATGATTGGAGAAATAACTATTCGGATCAAAAAACCGGATATTTGCGTTCAAGAGAAAATATGTTCAGTTGCTTCTTTTATCTTGGCCAACTTCTAGCCCAGTTAGTTAACAATTATTTTGAAGGTATTAGGGCATAATTTGATTAATGTAAACCTGAGTTTTTGGGATTAATAATTCGGATATAAAGTCGTACAAACTAAAATGAATTTGTGTTTTAATATGGGAGTTTTTCAGTCACTCAATACTTTTCGGTTATAACAGTAATCTATGCTGGGGATTAAAAAAATCGAGGTTTGTCTATTTACGGTTTTAAAGCGATGGTTACTGTTTATCGATGATCAGTTTTCACAAAAAATGGAACCGCAGTTATACCTCATTGAAAACACTTCATGGTAAACATCATTCCAAGTATTTGATATATAGGTAAATTGTTTTAATAGTTGATGGAGTCGTGATAAAAAGGTTGAAGGGATAAATTTTAAACCATTCAATTTCAGATGTGAACACCACTTCATCAGCTGAATAGTATCATTAAACTTTACAAGTGAATCAATTGCATAAATGGTTAAATGTAACATGCACATGCAATGGGACATAGATATCTGAAGTTTCGTTATCCTAATTAAGAGTGTTCCCTTCAATCATTACAAGTGAATATCGTTACTCAGTAAAAGTTTAACAATATAAATTATTGACATGACCGGAACGGTGCAAAACAAATAAGAGAAAAACTTGAAGAAGAATAAATGAAGCCAGGAATAAACATTTAGGAATTTTAGCAGAAGGGGTTTTTTGTGGAGATTTAGAGTTTCATAGTCGAAAGCGTGAGTCAATTGAAGCTAGACCACCAGGGAAAACCTGGAAGCACTGGATTGCCGTTTCGTCCTATTGTGGGACTACTCAGCAGTGCGCATTCACAATAGGACGAAACGGACGTCCAGTGCTTCCAGGTTTTCCCTGGTGATCTAGCTTAGATTTAGGAATTTATTAATGAATTTACATAAATAAATTATTTAATAAATGTCACATATCCTTAGTTATGATTGTTTTTTTAATCTTCATTATCTTATGTGTTAGGAAGCGGCGACTTAACACTATTTTAAGTTAAACTAATTTATAATAGATGAAAGAACTGAAAAATAAATAAATAATAATAAAATAAATATCGATGGAGCTATTTTTAAAAACTAACTATAACAATAAATTCACTTAGTATTGTTTGTTTGAATAAGACGAAACGCGCTTCCTGGATTCCATTGCTAGCCACTATCCATCTTCGCTTACAATAACTATAACATTAGTCGATAAACTAGTACTTTAAGAATAATAGTAATAATATTTATTAATTAAACATAAACACTGTGTTTTTGTTTTTATTACCAAAATGTTCGTAACACATAAGAGTAGAATAAAGGAGTAGGTGGGGAGTGAGATGACAATTAATTAATTTTGTTAATTTACAAAAATTATAAATCATTGATAGACAGTTTACCAATACTTAGATCTTAATAAACATGGTGATATACGCTGACGGGAAAAGATAGGGGGTGGAAAGTAATGGCAAGATAATTATATTATTTACGCATACGCAAATGTACACATGCACACATTAATAATATGGAAGGATCAAAGCGAGTATTGAGTTAGTTCTAAAGTACTTATTAAATTTATTGATAAAATATGCTGTTATGTACTGCTATTACTACTACTACTACTACTACCAGTGGTAATCAATAATAGATTTTTCATTGATTTTATCAAACAAAAGTGTTCAGAAAAACAATGGATAAATAGAGGAAAGAGTACATAATAACATAAAGAGGAGAGTGATTAAAAGTAGTGCACATAAACACACCCCCAGGAGGACAATTCTAATCTATTGCTCATGTGTATATATGAACAATTGAATTAGAGGAGAAGAGTGTACAAAAATCAATAATATACCAACCTATACATATTAAAATGTTTGTTCAGTGCACGTATACATTTGAAATAGAATACAATGTAATAACATGTGTGTGTATATGCATGTTTATGCAAGAGAGAATGTGGACAAAGATTAAATAAATTTTTTATAATTTTATGTAAATAATAAATTCTATTTTTAAACAAGAGAATCAAACATTCATTTCCTTATTGATCTCATTTAAAGTTTTTTTTAAAAATGATGATATGATGAATTATTTTGATATTTAAAACATGAAATTGATGTTAGTTATTGTTAAGCCAAGAGAAGAAACAGACTATGTATTTGTAGTTTGTATTCATCTGATGTTGATATTAATTGAGTTAACAATGAAAATCATGAGACACTTAAGATTTATTTTGTCCCAATATGGGATTACCCTGCAGTGGACATATTAGTTTGGAGTAAAATAGTTGTCACCAATGTTATTGAATGGTTATCGAGGTATATGACGAATTGGTTGAATTTGAAATTGAAATGTTGGATGCCGACCCAATAGTTTTAATGGTTTAGCGTTCTCTACCAGACTAGAAGGTCTTTGGTTCGTTTTCTGGAAAAATTATGTGTAAGCTCTACTGAGTCCTGCACTAGAAAGAAGCAGCTATTTAATGCTCCTCGGTTTTTAATGATGCTTCAACTGAAATTTTTCTATGACGAATACAACCTACAAATCAAACAGATCTCTACAAAACCTCTTCAATTAAAGATATTCATTTGGTTATAAATTTTGTTAAGAGCTGATATCTCAGCTGGAGATCTGTTAAAAACCAGAGATTACTGATAAATAATCGGTGTTTTGTTTCAGTTTGGAGGATTTCTCAATATAAGATTGAACTTAGAAACTTCACATCTCACAGCATATAACATAACAATGAACAACTGGATTAGGGCTAAGTTAATCAATGCACTTTAATGTGAACATCATGTAGTGTGACTGGTGTGTTACTGGTTTATTCATTTTAAATGATACACTTCGTAGGTCATGCTTTCTTGCTAGAAATTCAAGAAATGCAACTGAAGCCTCGTCACTAGGAATAATAGTAATGATAAAAAGTATACGATTATGATTTATCATGTTTTATAGGTATTAATGCCAAGGTTGGACTTGATAGTTTCGAATAATTGGAGCATTGAGTAGAAAGTTAATAATAAACATATTTTTGTTGTTATATCCCAATGCCTTGTTGACTAGTACTAAGCGAGGTTTCCCGATCGACTATCAAAAATCATCAAGCATCAATGAATTTAAGCGAACAGTACTTCAAGTTGTGGACAGTAAATTAAGAGTGTTATGAACATATATACTTAAAACTCCTGATCATATGGAACTAAGAATGAAAGAGAAAAACTCTTTTTTAAAATTAAACATCTCACTTTTGTACATGAATATTTCTTGATAATTCATTGACTTTTTCATCAGTTGTAACATTATACTGATTCAGCTGCATAATAGAATCATTGAGGAAGATTTGAACTTGTTCTTCAGTGACTTTACGTTGTTCTTGTATATCATGAAAATTGGACATAATTAATATGGGCAATTTCGGAGGAATTTGTATAAGTTCACGACATACATATTCAAATGTCCTATATGAAAATTTATACAGCGAACAAGAGTAGACAAAAGTAAGCTTTCAAGAGGAATAAGGAAATTGAAAGTATGGATAGTAAAACATATGTTACCTGATAATTTTCGAAATCAGTAAAAAAAGAATCATGGAACTTTCAGAAGGAAGTAAGTAACAGAATAAAACACCTTAAGAGATTGAACAGGCAATGATATCGAAGAGTGTATTACAAAACTCAAGCTTTGAGAATATTCCATATTGGAGTATGTTGTTTCAGATGAAGAGACAAACATCTATGAAGTCAATAAAATTAGGATTGAGAAGCAGTCTGATCGGTGATAGTGCGAGGATTGTACTATAACACGGAGTGACTGAATATAGAAAATTCGGAATATCGGAATACATCTTGATGATTAAACGATATTATGTATTGATTTCGAGAACTGAACTTTCTACTGAGTTCAGTATTATGTTGAATCACGAGTGTGTATACTGCTGAAAACTTCAAATGTAAACTATTCACTGCTTCTCAGTACATAGTCGTCTTTCAGATGAAGTTATTCACATTGCGGATGAGAATTATTTCCGAAGTATAAAGTCTGTATGAAATCACTTGATGCAAATACTTTGTATGATCGCTATATTTATTGCATTGATGTTTGAATTACAGAGATGATGATATTAACTTGGGGGAAAACTGAGTTTCCATATTACTCTGAGTTTTAGAACAACCTAAGTATATAAAACTACCATTTTCAAAATAGTTTAAAGTTTCTACAAAACGATCTGACTAAATAATAACCGCTTTCTCACTAGCAACAATTCTAATAAGCTGCAACTTATGAAGGCGACCAAAATTTGTTTATGACGTTGGGTAAATATTGTGAAATATTAGAAAATGACTGAATTTGGAGATATGAAGTGGTGGATATCAATACTGATTCATCTAAATGTATTGTATTTACTGTGAGATGCACGCATCTGGAGATCAATGGACCTCATGTGAATTTATGGCTGGATACTGCTGATAAAACTTAAACTATGACAAAATAGCTGTTCATTTCTCTCTGATTTTCACTAATATATCAGCTGACATTATCTTACAATGGTAAAAATCAGACTTAGAAAAAGTATCTATTCTCGTTAATTTGTTTCGACGGTTGTGTTTTAAGTCAGCTTATGTGAAATAATTACACCATTGTAAGTTGAGTTACACAATTGAACTGTCAAACATATAATTTTACTTTATAATTCGACACAAAAATCACTGGTCAAAGTTATTATCACAGTCATCAGGAAAATCCAATCAATATATTTTTTGCAGAAAACCTACCGAGTTTACACATGTAATTTACCTGGTCTAGATTTAGTAAGGTGTTTGTTCTTCCTAATGCCTACACCAAATTATTTAGGATGAATCACATATTTTTTCCAGGTTATTTGTCTTTTCTCTGATTGATCAGTTCTGACCTTGAATTTTCTTATTATCTTTCCATCATTTTTGCCACATCACTAGATTATCGATCTTTGCCATATTATTGTGTGTTTTCCTTTTTCTCCTATAAAGCACAAGGCTTTTGGTTTGCAAATACACAGGCAGAAATATTTAGTAGTAATTTCGCTAATTGGTGAAAAAGAATCACTGGGAAAAGAAGTCATCCCTTTATTTACTATAGAGGGTTTATGGAGATTTCTGAGTTACATGGTTTGTGTCAATAACTGATCTTAGTTAGGTAATCATTAGAAACCAGAAAGCACTGGACAGCGGTTTCGTTCTAGTATGGAACCTCTTGGTAGTGAGCACCCACAACCCCACTACAGGGGATATAACTCAGGACCTTTGGTCTTAAACGTGAATATTTAAACTTTAGACTACTGAGCCGGGACCCAACGATTGATATGTTTCACTCCGATCACTTTGTAATATCGCGTGACCATGTTCAGAGTTGAATTTTTATCATTCCTGACTGACTATGATATTGGGGATACGGAGCACGTCGGTTCAATTTAGTTTACCTTCTTAAAAGTATAGTAGAAAATAATATTAAAAGGATTTCGGGAACCAAATATGCGATAGGTAAGATGTTCAACAGAAATTATCTAAGGACATTGAAGAGTCTCAAATGTGTAAGGTTATGCAATCTAAAATTAGGATGAAACATCAGTCCGATGTTTGGTGTTTTTCAATGATTGTGCCTAGAGCTAAAGTTAGTCCATGATGTAAACTATAAACTGAAAAAGGATCTCCATAAACTTCATCTATAGTAAAAATATATGCAATTTCCTCATTTTATATTAATTCAAAGACCATGGTCTATTTAATAGAGTGTAAGCATAATTCACCAAGATTTAGAGTTGTCGGACGATAAAAATAGTGGTTATACAAAATACTACTACCGACTATTAGTGCTAAGTGTTAATAAAAGTCGGTCGATCAGGAAAATCAATACAAATGCCTTGGTACGGCCGAGAGTAGGGAGAGTCACCTCTCCCTCTCGAAATGCTCTCATATGGCCAGCGAATATATAGCCTCTGCCACACAAGTCCTACTCACTGCCTTCTCGTGGCGGGGGTGTTGTTTACGAAAGTGAGAGGACGAAGAGCGAATGTCCGGCGCTTTAACCGGGTTGGTGGACATGGAGGGTCCACCTAGGGGAGTTGGAAAACCCTGATTCCAAACCAGTGGTGCATATGGGCTCCAGTATCCTGAGGGAACAAATGGCGTACGAATCAACCGTTGATCACCGGCTACCATGGGACTGCATCTCCTCACGATGCTCCACTGCCTTGTGGATCAGACATTCAGGTCAAAGGCTCCGGGTGTGGCCCCCTAAGAAAACCACCTGCTTCAGTTTGGGCACCTGGGCAGTATCACAGCCCTCACACAAATCGAATGAGATTTGTGAGGCGCATATTTATCTGATGCTTCCTTGTACCAATATTTATGTGTTTAAATAAATAAATGAATAAATAAATAAATAAAAATCAATACAACTATCCATTGATATAGTGTATTAAAGAATAATTTGTTTTGTCGTTGTTCGTCTTATTAAAGTTACCAATAAATATATCTAATTAAACTTGACCCATATGTGTCATCAGTCTAACGAGTACTTTGAAATGTTTACAGTTTGTGATAATTCGTGTAGCTTTCTAACGGTTGCAGACGCTAGTACTAGAGTCACATAGATCACAACATTTTCTTTCCGTTATACGGTAGGTTATATTTAGGTATATAATCCCAATTTAGGCCAGTAAACTGATAAATATGTAGTTGATTGAAAGCTGGCTATAAACCTGAATTTAAGACACTATTATTGTGAAATATGGAAGAAAGACTCTGGACTCGACTCGATATAATGGACTGTTCTTGCTTCGTACCACTAAAATAAAAAAACCCTAGAGGAACATTATGCTCCATATGCGAATCAAAAGGATTATAGACTTCAATTTGTTTAGATTTACATGTGTGTACTTTTCAAGAGTATCTGACTGGACGAATCAATTATTCAGTGTTCCATGGTTTTCATTGGTTTTCTAGCTAATTCTACAGATCATGGTTACTATGAAGAACAAAAAAGGAGGTAGTAAACTAAATTATATATATATATATAATACGTTTAGTAATCTGTAGAGAATTACAAGAAATTAAGTTTTATTTATTTATATAACCGCATAAACATTGGTACAAAGAAGCACCAAACTATATACGTGCCACACAAGTAATTGAATTTGTGTGTAGGCTGAAATACTACCTGGATACCAAAGAAGAAACAGATTTCCCTAGAGGGCTACTCCACAAGCTTTTGAACCAGAGACCTAATAGACAAGGTAGTGGAGCAATGTTAAGAAACGTGCTATTATGCGAGACAGTGGCCAAAAATAGGTTCATAGGCCATTTGTTCCCTCAAGATCATGGAACCCATTGGTTTCGAATCAGGGTTTCAACTCTGTTAGGTTGTTCCTCCGTATCCACCAACTCGGTTTAAGCACCGAACATTCATTTTTCGTCCTCGAGATACCCCCACCACGAGAAGGCATTCTGTAGGACTTCTGTAGTAGCGGATTTACATTCGCGATCATGTGAGAGCATATCATGGGGAAGAGCGGACTTTCATGTCTCTGCCGTATCGGGGCATTTGAGGCTACAAGCAACTAAAACATTAATATCTACCTTGCAGAGATAAAGCTCAATTATCATATGTGAGAGATGAAAGGCGCCTTGATCAATGTAACAGCATGTAAATTATGTCAAAATTTAGAAGATTATCTTTTTGGCGGCATTACGAGGCTGCTCGATCGATTTCAAACACTTCGACATCAGAAAACACTTAGTATATTACTTGTATAAAAGCAAATATTAATTCATAAACCACTTATTGTTTAAATTTTTTACCGAAATATATCGGCAATCAGAAGAAAGTATTAATGATCTATGATGAAAAGTCTGTTTTCATGACTTTCGACATACTGATTTTTGAAAATATGAGAAAATATTTTCGGATTATTCAGTGCACTACTTAAATTTTTATAACAGTAGATAAGAATATCTCGGTGGATTGTGTTTCAAGTTATATTGAATAATTGATGAAGAGGTTACAATTAGAGTGCCAATATTATGACTAACATGAAATGATTTACTGAATTTAAAATGACTGTGGACTAATGACAAATAGTTTGATAATTCTATATATTCTCTTTTTTTCTTGACATAACTGATTGAATGGGAAAGAAGCGGTGTCTGAGTCGTATTACAAATTACATCAATGGATATTATATTTAACAAATAATTGAAATATGTATAACGGCTTACAAAATGAGTTTTCTCTAAAGATGACAAGAATAATTTAATGTTCAGTCAAATTATTAATATTTTGATAATACCATAGGTACATAATCAAAAAGTTAAGATTTCAACTCACGATGGTTTTGTCATATCCATCATTAGGATAACACCATGTGCACCTTTGTAGACATTAATAAAACTTGCATCTAAACACGGTTCAATATTTCCCTGTTATAGAGAAAAAGGTTAAAATGTGAATCTATGGTCATAAAATCTGAACAAAAATTTTTTGAATTAAGAATTATAGTAGCCGAATTGTAGGTCTAAATCCTTTGGGTTAAATCAATAAATCAAATCTAGGAACTAAGTCAAGTGGAATGATACTACGATGTAGTGTATATCACGTCATATATTTGGGATTAAGTTCAAACGAAGCCCTGAATTTAAATGCTTTTAACTTATAGTCTAAATACCAAACATCTAATGCACACCGAATCACGAAAATTGGTTCTAAAAAGGTGAAGGGAGTAAATAGCACCGTAGTGATATCTCCGATTGAAAGGCTTAAAGTTATGCTCACGTGTCAAAAGAGAACCGGTTTTCCATCAGTTTGTAAACATTTAATTTAAGTAATCTAACGAGTGGAAACAAAGTCTGAAGAAAAATGTGGTGTGTGAGAACTTGCTATTTAAACATTGATATATTATTTTTTCTTATTAGAGTACCCTATATTGATAAATGACGATAGGATTGCAAAAATGAATTACTAACACAAACTTAGATCAAAATAAGATATTGATTCCAAGTTCTTTGTAGTCTTATAATACTATTATAGTCATGTGTAATGAAATAGTTTGTCCAAACAATAGTACTGTCATGAAATCTCTGTGAGATTCCTGTTCTATCGAAACCTTTTATGTCCTGAATATGTCAAAGTTATTATTTTTATATAAAGTGAACTCGTTTACTATTTATACATGTGAGGCTTTTCAAAGGTATGTTACACGAGGTTGAACAAATGCAAGATTAAGTGGTGAGCCAACAGGGAGTTATAAATATTAAGTTGATTTTTCGAAGCTACTCATATATATGTCAGTAGTTAGAGAATAAATAACTCCACCATTGGCTCTTCTAGGGTTATTGTCAGTCCCAAGCTCACACAAAGGAGGGTTGGGTATGTGGTCAGCAACCCATTCTGTAGAAAACAACCATGCCAAAAACGCTAACCAGAATAAACAAATTAAAACATTTACACTCTGTACTCCGAATCGAAGGATCTTCACTCGGAATTATGACGCCTCATGGTGCATTCAACAAAATGATTACAAGAGGCACAATATTCCCACACAAACGCATACACAATGCTACATGTGTCTGGCTCACCAGACCACACTACACAGAATCGGATCGATCATATTTGCATCACTAAAACATTCAGAGGATCAGTGGAAGACGTGAGAACTAGGAGAGGAGCTGACATAGCTTCAGATCACCACCAACTGGCGCTTGCCAACATGAAGCCGAAGCTAAGGAAGCACTGCACAACTGCACAAGCAGCATTACAAAGGTTCAATGCAGACGTCCTTAGACATACTGACAAACCCAACGGATTCAAGATAACTCTCAACAATAAGTTCCAAGTCTTACAGGATCTACTCAAACGAGAAGAAACTACTATGGAGAACAATTAGAAGGGGATGAAGGAAACATTATCTTCAACGTGTCAGGAGGTTCTGGATCGCAACAGGCATCATCATAAGGAATGGATCTCTATCGTAACCCTAGAAAAGATTCAAGAAAGGAAGAACAAGAAAATGGTAATTAACAACAGCCGAACAAGGCACAAGCTGAATACACTGAAGCAAACAAACAAGTGAAGTAGATCATTAGAACTAACAAGCAGAAATATGTGGAAGACCTAGCAACGACAACAGGAAGAGCTGAAAAGGAAGGAAATATCAGACAACTATATGACACAACGAAGAAACTAGCAGAGAAATATAGTAAACCGCAGATATAGGTCAAGGACAAAGAAGGCAAGACAAGAACAGAAGAACAGATGGGTAGAATACTTTGAGGAACTCTTGAATAGACCAGCTCCACTGAATCTACTGGACATCGAATCAGCACACACAGACCTTCTTGTATATTTCACTTTACCAACGACCGAAGAAATCAGGATGGCCATCAGACAAATCAAGAATGGGAAAGCAGCAGAACCTGACAATATACCAGCTGAAGCACTAAAGTCAGACATAGAAGTAACTGCTAAGATTCTCCACACTCTATTCAGGAAAACTTGGGAGGGATAACAGGTGTCGACAGACTGAAAAGAAAGATATCTCATCAAGATATTAAAGAAGGGAGATCTGAGCAAACGTGAGAACTACGGAGAAATCACATTACCGTCTACCAAAAAGAGTTTTCAACAGTGTTGTTGAACAGGATGGAAGAGTCAGTAGACGTTCAGCTTAGAGATCAACAGGTCGAATTTTGTAAAAATCGGTCGTGCACAAACCAAATCGCGACATTACGGATCATTGTTGAGCAATCAATTGAATAGAAATCGTCATTATAGATCAACTTCCTTGACTACAAAAAGGCTATTGGCAGTGTGGATAGGAGAATATTATGGGAACATCTTGGATACTAAAGTGTACCTAAGAAAATTGTCAATATTATCCGGCATTCAAACAACGGACTACACTGAAAAGTGGTGCATAGAGGACAGCTTACAGACGCATTCCTAGTGAGCACCGAAGACAGACAAGGCTGCTTACTCTATCCGTTTCTTATGGTGGTTGACTGAATCATTAAGACCTCGACATCTCAGGGGAAGCTTGAAATACAATGGACAGCTTGGATGGAGCTAAATGATGTGTACTTCGCAGATGACCTGGCCCTTCTATCTCATGCACATACACCAACAGACGCAGCTCAAGACAAACAGTGTACCAGCAATCTCCGCATTAGTAGGCCTCAACATACGCAAGGGAAAAAGCAAGATCCTCAAATACAACACGAAGAACACCAACACAATCACACTTGACGTAGAAACTCTGGAAGAGGTGGTCAGTCCGTCAGCTACAACGTAGGACCAGGCACATAAATGCATCGGTCCAAGTCGACATACTTCATTAGCACAACAAGATGAGCACCAAATCTATAGAAGCGGTTACCACAGTGGTAGTAATACATAAAGAAAAAGATTGCATATAAGAATATGATACAGGGAGAAAGAATTAGTTCGTAGAAAGAAAGGTATAAAGTAATTTTATTCTCACAGTTTAAGGGAAGACAACGAGTGCATACACCTACGCCAATGTGATCCATTCTGAGACATCTCACCCATAGTCTCCGACCACTGGTTATGATAGTCACGTGGACTCCAACCAATTAGTCTGCATCTACCAACATGGCTCAGACCAGAAGTTAGTGACTTTGTGGACTTTCTTCCAACCATCCTCAACACCAGTCAGCAACGCCCATCGTGGTAATCGGTGTTCAAGCATACGTAACACGTGGCCAACCATCTCAGTCGATGAAGATTCACGACCTCATCAACTTATTTACCATCATTCCTTAATACCCTGTGTCTAACCTCAACATTACTTACCCGATCGAAAATTTCACGTACCTGGACACCACCATTGGTGAACGTGGAGGATCTGATGCAGACGTAAAGTTAAGGGTTGGTAAAGTAAGGGCAGTATTCTTACAGTTGAAGAACATATGCAACTCAAAACAACTTTCAACCAACATCAAAGTCAGAATCTTCAATACAGTTCTACTGTATGGAGCTGAAACGTAGAGAATTACTACCACCATCATTAAAAAGATACAAGTATTTATAAACAGTTGTATATGCAAGATACTCAATGTCTATTGTTGACCGGATACCATCAGCAACAGCCCATTGTGGAAGAGAACAAACCAGATTCCAGATGAAGAGGAAATTAGGAAAAGACGCTGGAAGTGGATAGGACACACATTACGGAAATCATCAAACTGCATCACGTATCAAGCGCTGACATGAATCATGAAGGGAGACGGAATAGAGGAAGGCCAAAGAACACACTATGCCGAGAATTGGAAGCAGACATGAAAAGGATTGCTGAGGACAGAGTTCGATGGAGAATGTTAGTGGGTGGTCTATACTCCTCCACAAGCGATAACAGGCGTAAGTAAGTTAGATAAAAATGGCTCTAGATTAGTGTTAAATCTATAGAAGAGTCCAAATTGCACGATTGAGATACGGGCGAAGTCGAAGTTCACAAAACAGCGATTTGTTTAAAAAGAGGTTCTCTATTGAATAGCATATATAAATTAGTTACAAACCCCAACTTGTGAGGCATCTGTGGCGTTTCCCACGTCCGTAAGTCTGAAATATAAAGGGCTTCCTGCGACAGTAATATAAAGAATACTTACAACATACGATAGTGAAAATGACAGCTGATAGCTGTGTCTAGACTTGATAACAGTTTATCAACAAGCAAAAACGGGACCAAGAGCAAAAAATATGGAAAACGTCGCGTTTAAACAAGGATTAAACGATGATACAAAAACTGAAAATAACTGCTACAGGGATTGAAAGAAAGTAATTACAATGATAAATACAATAAATGTTATAAATATATGTAAATATTTTAGAATACACAACAAACTTGCGTTACAACACACGCGTAGAAATTGCTAGGAATACAACTATTTACTGAATATTAGTAAGTAGTATAAAAGTACACAAAAGAGCTAAAGGGGGGAAGAGAATAGAGTCAGAGAATGTAAACAGACTTTACAGTTAGTAAGGAAAGATGATGAGTGGAGAACGCTTATTTTATTTTAGAATGTGTAGAAGATATGATTTCCTTAAGGGGATGATTTTACAACTGTATTTTATTTTTACTGTAGTCTCAGTGAATCATTCTTATGCATTATAGATAATGGAACTCAAGTGTAAGGAAATGCAGCTTAGTTTTATTCAAAAGTTGGTCAAATTCTCAGTTCATATCAACTAGTAATGGTGATTGTTCAGAGTAGGACTAGTCTAACTTAATCACTGATTTTTTATGATACTTTACTTCGTTGAAATAGTTCACCTCCAGTGGCTAAGTACTCTGCAAATTACTGGACAAAGCCCATGAACGGACAATGTCAGGCGTCTGGAACTCAAAACAACGGTCACTCAAGACCAAAGTCAGAAGTTTCAGTACAAAAGTCGAGACAGTTCTGTTGTACAGAGCTGAATCTTGGAGGGCAACTAAAACAGTCATCAAAAAAGTACAGGTATTCATTTATTACGTCATTCATTATTTCAACTCTTTCTGAAGTTTAAACTACATCATTGTCAATTTTCTTCAATTCATAACTGACTGATTTAAATTTATATCTTTCTTTATTGCCATTAATCCATTTTCAATTGATTCATTACACAATCATCTAATCTTTGTTAACTCCATAAGTTCTAAACACTATTTCAATGTTCTGGAACTTTCCCTCCCAAACCTTATTTATCCGGAACAAAATTTTTATGACCTAATTAACTATATTGAAGTCTTCGCCACATCATAATACATGTATTCATCTTTAATCACCCTCATATGTATAAGTATGTCGATAGCTGTAATAACGATTTTAAAATATTAAAGGTTGTAAGCAGCTGAACCTAACGAAATAAAGTGAATTCATATTATTCTTCACCAATCTTCGTTCTTGCTCCCTTCAAGATAATAAAGGGAACCATGTGTACGAAACTATTTATAAACAGTTGTCTACAAAGGACACTCAATGTTCGTTGTCCGGACAGCATCAGCAATAACCTACCCTTGCAGAGAGAAACCCATCTTGTTTCTGGAGAGAAAATTAGGAAAAAGTGCTGGAGGTGGGTGGGACACAAATTGTAGAAATTATTAAACTGCATCACAAAGCAAGTCTTAACTTGGGAGAAACAAAAAGAGGTAGACCAAAAAACACGTAGCTCCAGGAATTGGATGCAGACACTGGAAAAGCGAAAAACACTTGGCAACAACTGGAAAGGAGAGCCCGTGACAGAGCTGGATGGAGAATCCTAGTCGGGGGCCTATGCTCCACGAGGGGTAACAGGCATAGGTAAGTGACTTAAGTACTCAGGACCAAGTAGTCCTAAATCAAGATGACAGTAACCCCTAATAATGATAAGGAAACCGAGTTGAGATGAATGAAATGAGAATTGAATTTTTCTATTGGTATAATTTAATCAAGTAGCCGAGTGAACACAATAAGGTAGTAATTTGTAAAGTAAATAATTACTGTAGAAAACATAATGGTATTTCTCTTTGGATTGTATAAGGCTTTCTAACACAGTAATTAATAGTAGCTACCTAATGTAAATGGATTTAAGCTTGTCTTGGTAAATAATTCCTAGTACATATATTATTTCTATCCAAGCTAGATCGGGATAATTGAACAAATGGAGTATAGCAAATTATAAGAATTTAGATGTAAGCTTAATCACACTAAACATACTTTTTATTACATTGAAACTTATTAAATGTAACAAACGTATAGTTACGCATTTTAGAGACAGTCCCTGTTAAAAAATATGTCAAACAGTTTGTATGTTATATTAATTATTAAACTGAACACTACAGTGAATGTTTTGAAGTAGGATCCCTCCCGAAACAAATATTCCTTTCCTATCTCCCCCAACTTCACCAATATAACACAAGTTTTGAGAAAATACAAGTTAAACAATAGTTTAACCGAAGTATTCTATTAGGTACTTAATTTGGACCTAAATACGAGTGTAAATCTATCCTGTAGTAGGTGACACAAGTTACGAATATTTGATGAAGTATCCATTTCTTCAACATTACAGATATATTCATAGTTTAAATTAAGAACTGATCTTGGTTAGGTCTCCCCGTGGTGAATGCTGTTTATGCTGACAGGCATAAGTAGTATGTAGCACCAATCGAAAGTGCAATACATAGCAGTGGAAGATTGAAGTGAAGAGAAGAGTGAGGGAAACAAAGAGGAATTGGAATAACAAACGGATTTAAAGAATGGAGAAGTATGTACAGGACAACTGATGGAGGATGTGCAAATAATGTATTTAATGTATGGTTTTCGTATTTTACGAAAGCACTAAGCAATTCTGCATAAAAATGGTTTTCCCCACCAAGTCATCATTTACTACACCCCCATAGAAGACCTGGAAGCACTGGACGGTGGTTTCGTCCTAGTGTGAAACTTTTCAGCAGTGTCTATCCACAACCCTGGAACTAGTGATTGAATCCAGGACTGTCAGCGGTGCTTACCAGTAAGTTTTAAATCTGGGTACAAAGCATTCTGCTGACTACCTAGAATCAATACTTAATGAGATATACTAAACAAAATTGATACAAATTAACACAATTACTAATAAGTAATATAACATGGAAACTTAAAAAAATAAGAACTCACAGCCTGTCCACCAATATTGATACTAGGTTGGCCTTTTGTTAGTTTTTTGAAAAACCTTACGCCTTTTGAAACACTACTCCTAGGTTTGCCTTTATCAACAACATCCCAAACTTCCACTTTAATTACACTTTGAGAATTCTGATGATTCCAATGAATGTTAGCTAGCTATCGAATGAAAACAACATCCAATGGATAACAGTTTTAGTATGATTTATTAGAATAATATCAAAATGTAAGGCTAACGGTCAAAAATAGTAAAATGATATTATCAAAAATTAACATAAGGATGCTTTAATTATGAAAAATTATTACAGTACATAATTAGGTAACATTCACGTAGAAATGCTGCAAAAAGTTTACATCATGAGATTACTTATTGGTGGTGAGCATTCAGTGAAATGCGGGGATTATATAAACAGGAAATGCGTGTGGTGAAGCACTGGAGACAATGTTGCATAATGATCCATCTTGGTTAAAAAACGAGACTATAATATAATATTAATCACTGAACACTTCAATTATTGACATTTAATTCGTAATGTATACAGGGAAAACTAATATTTAAGTAAGTTTAGCAACTACGAGAAGCCAGAATTTTTCAACATTGAACACGACTAAAGAACATAATGTGACAGTTTCATAAGGGTATTTACAGAACCACTTACGTAATGTATACTTGGACAATCTTAAGTACACGCAATTATTTACAACAAAATTTCAGCTTCGTCAATTTAAGACTATTACTTATTACGGGGCACTAATTACATAACAATGTATTTGCCCGTTAAATGATTGACATTTTATTGATAAGTTACTTTAAAAATCAGAACTCTGATTTACTCATATTTTTGAATAGTTTTCGTAAGTTTGCAACTTTGCGCACCCCTAATCCACTTCTAACCTACACCTACTCCAACCAGTTTAGCATACCAATTTAAATAATGGCTAAGTATCAGCAACGCATGTTGCGATCACCACAATAAATGAAGGTCCGCAATCTTATCAACTGGTTTAAAATCTCTGTCAAATCATTTTATACTTAAACACTAGGATTGTTTATTTGTTGATTGTAATATACAAGAGAGATCTTTTAAAGATTCTTTAATAAGAGTCTTTTAAGTTAGTAAGACAGCACAGAGAATTAATGTGCAATACATTAACTTTGATAAGCATTCTAAATGCAGCACAGGTGGTATAATTCGGTAAAAACTAAACTTGTGCTTACGTGGAGGCTCCGCCAATGCATCAAACCGATAGACCCCTAAGTCAAGTGATAAACCCGTTCATTCACTACATCTACTATTGTTAAACTGGGTGGTGATGTATATCAGTCTTGAAGCAACATATTGCGACTAGAAAACGAGGAGCATATCCCGAACTTCAGATGTTATTGATAAGTCTTGCTAATTGAACGATATACTCGGATCCTAAGCTAGTCTCATAACCCCTAAGCTAAATCTACACAGAGACTTGAACACGAGAGAAAAGACGCAAAATATGCAAGAAGCACTTTACTACAAAGGTTTATTTATGTACAGAAAATATAGGGTTTTTATAGTATCTTAGAAGTTCTTGGGTTTCCCTGAAAATTCTGGAATGCTACTAAACATAGTTGTAGTAATCGGCCAATCAGAAACTCTACATGTAATGTTTCTAGCAAAACTTCTAGTCAAATGCTGATTGGATAAAATGCTTCTTAATGTTTCCTGAGCCTTTCTTGTCTATTGCGAGAAATTTTCAGGATCACCTCAAGTTATTGCCTGATATGTTTACATTATATTGCATTAATTTTGCACAGTCACAAGTCAATACCAGGACCACAAGTAAAGGGTCAACTTTTGATAAGTTTGTGAAGGCAATTCTTAACAAAAAAAGGCCATAAGAACGAACTGACTCTAAGGGTTATAAAATAATTTGAGGATCGTAATTCTTGATAAAGTAGGGATTGACATTGTTCAGAATGACGGTGAAGAACTCAAGATGAAACCACTTAGCTTAGAAAACGCCACACCGACAAAAACACAGTAATGTTTCGTAATTTTGAATACAGTACTCGTGAATATGTATCAAGACACCATACCGTATGCAAATAATAATAATAATAATAATAAGACATTGATATTATGTTTAACTGATTTAAAAATGCTTTCACAATCAACTCAAGAATTTAAACTTGACTAAAAATATTTAAACTAATTACTCCCTTTGGTAAATTTGGATGCTGTCAAAAGATGACGAAAAGTATCAGAACTATGTGATATGTTTGCAAAATACGTTTCGAACAATTTGATCACACATACTTGTCAAGAACATTTATGTATGAAAACAGAAAAGGTCAACTGGACAAATGGAGAGTAAGAGGTAATAATCAAGAGAATAATGTGAAACTTTCCGTACTGGATTATGAAACAATATTACCAGGATAGTGTCAGAGTGAAAACAGTTTTTGGATACATAAGGGGGTTTGAGTTTTTGTGTGGCCAAGGTTTCAATAAACCTTAGTATACGTCCTTGAACACTTCGTACAACGCCACAAAAGTCAAGTTAAAATCAATCTAATGACCTGTTTTAACTATGTGTTTGGCGATAGAGAACAATGGACATTTATCATCTACTCTTATCGGATCATTTGATTTTGTTTGGGCTTGCAACGAATTCCTCTTCGATTCTTCATATTTTCCAGTCGTCGTGGAGGAAGAATAAATATATATGTAAGTGTGTAGAAATACATTCGTACTTACATAAGCAAGTGAACCGTGTGGGGAAAATTCCCGTTATATATGTGCATATATACTATGTTTAATTGACCTTTTACTTTTTCGTATATATATATATATGTATATATTCTCAACAAGTATATGTGTGGTCAGACTGTTCGAAATGTATTGTGCTAATGAAACACATAGTTCTGATAATCTTCGTCTTCTCATTACAGTACCTCAAGATATTTTGTCATAATATTTCATCTACTTTCTAAATAGTAAGATATAATTATTAGAGTTTTAACAAATAAACAAAAATAAAGTTACTTGAATTTCATTGGATGGAATGTATTCTTCTTTAAACTGTTCACCCTTCAAGCGCGAAAGTAAAGTTGATTTTCCAACATTACGATCACCGCGTATAACAATTTTCACTAAAAATACAAGTAATTTAAATTTCTTAATTACAAGATTCATACATATAACTGCATGTATCGACTTTCCCATAGGATTTAGACAACACTGAAATTAATCGAAAACTGGACAAAAGTACAATTCAAGGGAGCATATAAAACTAAAAAAATGAATTTAACTGAACCACCATGACAAATTTTACTCCACGTTTCAGGAAAAGCAAATAACATAGTGGAAACCTTGAATACATCTAGATGCCTTGGACTTTGCAGATGAATTAGCCCTTCTATCCCATACGCAGCAACAAATGCAGATGAAGATAGCCAATACAGTGGAGGACTCCTCAAAAATAGACATTCACAAAAGAAAAAGTAGGATCTAGAAATACGAAACAGTGAGCATCAACTACATTACGCTCGATGGAAAATCTCTGGAACAGGTGGAAGCCTCCGTTTTTATTGATAAACGAGGGGGATCTGATGAAGATGTGAAGGTGCGAATTGAAAAAGCAAGGACAACATTCCTACAAATGAAGGATATCTGGAACTCAAAAGAACTGTCACCTAAGAATAGAGTAAGAATTTTCAACACGTGTTAAAAGTTTATTGTAGGGAGCTGAAAGTTGAAGAATTGCGACAATCACCAAAACAGTGCAGGTTTTATAAATAGCTGTTTGCGAAAGATACTCCAGATCCACTAACCACAGACTATCGACAATAGCCCAATCTGAAACAAAACAAACCAGTTGCCAGTTGAGGAGGAAATTAGAAAAAGAAGCTGAACGCGGATAAGCATGCTTTGTGGAAACCATGTAAAATTAAATCGCGAAGATCTAACTTAACAAAAAGAAAAGAGGAAGACCAAAGAGCATATAACGCCGAAAACCAAAGGCAGACGATAAGACTATGGGCACCAATCGTAAACAACTAGAAAAGAGCCCAGCACAGAGTTGTTTGGAGAACCTTGGTCAGTGGTCTATACACTACTAGCAAGCCCCAGCAAAAGTAAATATTTCTAATAAATTTGAGGTCTGATGAAATGCACCCAATATTTAAATTTCGAGGTCACTGATAAAGAGCTCTAGATATGGATGAGTTATTCATAAATAATGGATCTTTACAAACTTGAATATAAACATATTCATAGCGAGATTTCAATTCACATAATTTAGTTCTTTAGCCAGTCGGATGTAAAACCAGTGAATTAGTGCCTATTAAAATTTTAGAGAAAATAATAGTAATGATAAAAGCAAATATTTTAATTTTTATGCCAATTCCTAAACATACTATTATAGTCAACTCCATGAGAAAATTTCTCTTGTAAATATTCACCAATAGGCTGTATATCAGCAGATGAATACCTTTTCGTAGTTGTTTCACTTTTATCCCACCACTTTTTCGCTAAAGACATGTTGAGTGAAAATTCACAAGTTCAGTAAAGACGTTTATTTTCGATTTTGTGCAAATAATTGTGGAAGTAAGCACGTTACTAAAGGTCAAATAAAAACAAATAGAAAATGAAAGAGCATAAGTCAAAAGAATTTGTTAGGGATTGGTATACGAATAAACAATATTACAGATATTCAGTCACATGATTTGTAATGGTCTTGCTAGTTTGAGGATGGTTGACTTTAATTGAAGACTAATATCAGTTGAGGAAATACTGAGATATTTAGTAATGTGATGGGGGGGGCTAAACAAACAGACACTGGATTTAACAAGTTTGAGGATAGTTGAATCACATTTTTTAACAACTATAGAGATGATCTTTAACGCATATATTTGATGACAAGTATCCAATATATGATAAGATATTGTACTACTTAAGGGAATGTGGTTTTTGAGACGAGAACTTTTAAAATGTACGAAGGTTTTACAAGATAACTAATTTTTATTTTACTTGTGCTACGCTATCGCGTAAACACGGAGTCTCTTAGATTATTGAAATTATACATTAATTCAGAGCCTTTCAGATATTTTTAAAAAATAGAGGACAAGTATTCATATACCGTCTCTAAACTAGTTTTCTCTTCCTAAAAGTTAACTTGACAAAGTAAATGACTTAAATTCATTAGTGTTTAAACAAAGTAGCACACATAAAACATACCTCATGATAAATAACATGAAAGTATGATGCTTTCAACCAATAGAGCATGGGTTTAGGCTTCTTCAAAGTAACGCTATACTGTTTGCTTAACTACAGTGCATCAGCACCTGACTTTTTCTCTATAGACTTTAAAGAGAAAAACAGTAAAGTCAAAAGCCTTATAACTGGTTACGTTGATAACAATGTGCTCTAAGCTGTGGATGCTTTACGCTAAACGTTGTGAACCATAACAGAATTCATATTAAACCCTAAAAGTATTTGAGTCTTGTTTTCCACTAAATATAAATTTTCTACGGAATTTCGGATGAGCTACATACATAATGAATTACTGCGGAAAATATCTTCAAAAAGTAAGGGCAAAATATTTTTTATAAACTACAGATCACAAACATTTCGGAGCTCCAACAGTCATATCGATGTAAGTTATAAGTATTTTAGGGAGAAGTTATGGACTCCGGTAGTGAAATCTTATTTTAACTTAATAACGTAGCATGCAACTAGGATATGCTTAATCAACTAGATAAATTTTCGTTTAGCCAACAAAGGAATTCGCTGTTATTCACGCTATCAATACAAACTGAGTAGCGGTTATTCTAAGTGGCTAATCAGTAACCAAATTTATGTCATGAAGGATAACTTGACCGGAGAATGTGTGGCTGATAATAAAGATATAGACGATCAGTCCCTGACCAAGTTTAAAGTGATGTGATATTGCGACAAGTTATTACTCCAAAAAGTAATTTGCCTGCAACAACACGAACGGCGCATACGTAGATATAGTGTATTTTGGAAACAAGTAAACTTCCTACGGGAAAAGTAGATTGCTTAGTGGAAACATAAGGAAAGAGTATACTTCTGGGAGAAATCGACTTTAAGGATGGTTCTGGGAGGTTTTTTTAAAATTAAGATTGAGGAAAATGATTTTTTTACAGTCCAATTTTCCTCAGAATAGATTGTTTGGACACAGTTATGTAGGGATTGTACGTAAACATAAATTGTCGTTATTGTATAACAGTTGTCGATATTAGAAATTCCATCCACAAATAAACACTTCAACATATTTTCAGGTAAAACACCTTGGTTTGGCATTCTGTAAGGATAATAGGGCCTTAGTATTACCTGAAGTTAGCCCTAGGAAAACAATGGGGTTTACTTATGTATTTAAGTACGTTTTTACGGCTTGATATGTCTTGAATAGTCATTAATTTAATTTTAAAACTTTTTTTGGACAAATGACGGGACTGACCATTTTATGGAAGTCTTTAAAATGCTGATAAATCCTCACGAACCTACAAACTTAAAAGAAACGTACATTTTCATAATGACGGGAATGTTTGTCATGTACAATAGCTTCAAATGGTTTCAAATACTTCTGGACCGAATAGGGGAAGCTTTCGCCTAATGGACTTCTGTATCTAGTATCAGTGAATCGTCGATGCCTCCAGGTAGGAAGCTAGGTTTATTTAACAATAACAGAAAAAATATTGGTAAACTACAGTGTTTCAATTTCTGTTTGGAAAGGACTGGAGGCTTGGTGGCTTGTGTTAGTTATGTCGACGGTGGTCTCTCAGTTGATCCAACTTTCTTTTGAAAAAGTCGACTGATGGAGCCTCAACCAAGTGCTGAGGTAATGAATTCCACTCCTTGATGATTCGATGGGAAAGTCGATCGTCAGCTGACAAATAATTTGTCCTGGGCTTGTGAACTCTTTTGGAGTGTCTTCTTAAATTCTCTGTTTTGGAGGACAAGAAAAATAAGGGCATATGAGGTGCAAATATATCACTAAATAATTTGAAAACTATAATCAAGTCCTCTCTGGTTCTTCGACATGACAATAGGAATAGGTTTAGTTTAGCCAGTCGAGCATCATACAGAAGCTTCGCTATCCCGTGAATCAGCTTAGTTGCTGTTCTCCAAACCTTTTCCAAGATTTCACTGTCTTTTTTAGGCAGTGTCTAGTCGCTTGTATGCAGTACTCAAGTTTAGGACGCACGAACACTGTATACAAAGTAAAAAACGTTTTGGCGTCGATATGACTAAAAGCCCTACGTATAAAGTTCTGAAACATTTGGCTGCTGTCGCACGGTAATGTGCAGTAGTCTTTAAGTCTTGGCTAACGATGACTCCTAAGTCATTGTGTGTCTGAACAATAGGTAGGTCAGTGTTATTCGTCGTGTATGTATCTGTACGTTGATGACCAGTATGCATCACAATACACTTGGAAGTATTTATCAGCAACTACCAGGTTTGAGACCATTAAGATAATTTCTTTAGGTAATTTTGGAGTTCCAATTTATCGCCCTTACTTTGTATTGCTCTACACACCTTGACATGTTCAGCATATAGCAAGAACGATGATGACAGGAGACGAGGGAGGTCATTTATATACAAGAGGAATAACACAGGCCACGAAACTGTACCCTGAGGTACTCCGCTAAGCACAGTTTCACGGCTAGACAACTTGGAGTTCACTCGTACTCTTTGTTGGCGCCCAACTAAGAAGTCTTTTATCCACATCAATAGATTGTCTCCAAGCCGGACATTTCTTAACTTATATAACAGCCAGTTGAGAGGAACTTTATCAAAAGCTTCGCTGAAATCGATGTAGGCTACGTCTACAGATGACTTTTCGTCCTTAAAAGCGCACCAGCTTTCACGAACGATTAATAAGTTAGTGAGACAAGAACGACCTATTCTAAAACCATGCTGCTTCTCCAAAAGTATACTGTTTTCATCGAGGTACTTAAACAGCTTCCGAATGGTTATTTCTAAGATTTTAACAATTACACTTGTTAGGCTAACGGGTCGGTAGTTCTCAGGTTTATGTTTTGTACCTGTTTTGAAGACAGGACGTACTATGGCGTTCTTGCAGTTTTTTGGCCAACGACCCTGAGTTACGGATAGATTAAAGCATATACTTAAAGGGTTAACAACGAAGTCAGATAATTCCTTTAGTAGCCTAGGTTGCAATTCATCGGGCCCCGTGGATTTACCTATGTCAAGCATATTTAGCAGACCAAAGACATCGAGTTCTTTGCTGGTTACGTTTTCGAGCGATTGTGTAGGGGGATTTGCATAGACTAGCGGGAGGGGTGTTTCTATGGTATATACATTACTAAAGTAGTTTGCGAATACTTGAGCCTTACCAAAGTTGTCCCCCACTAATGATGAGGCAGTACTGTCGCCCCATGGTGCAAGAATACTTCCTGTTCTTTTTGTTCTTTGGCTTATATACGAATACAAGCGTTTAGGGCATTCTATGGATTCCTTAACGATTTTCTCTTCGTACAGCTTTCTAGACTTACGGAGGGTCGACGCACAAGTATTCCGAGCTCTTTAATACTGAGATTTTGCCTCATCAGTCCCCAGTAACCTAAATCTATCCCACAATTTCCTTCTTTGTAAGAGAAGGATGCGAAGCCCCCTACTGAACCATAGTGGGGAGTTTCTTGGCCCCCTAGGTGTAGTCCAAGGGATGTAGAGTGCGGTAACTTTTAAGTATAGATTTCGAAATACGTCCCAAGCCGTTACGATTGAGGATTCTGGGTCTATTGTCCAATCTACTGACGATGCTGGGTGTATAATATCTTGTATATTTGATTTCCGGAGGTTAGGCCTGGGTTGAGCTGATGCGTGCTTGTTTTTGATAACTGTAGGAAAGTCAACGGTTAGAACTGCATTATCACCTTTACCTAGGGGTGGCATGTAATCGAGGTTCTCAATGTCATCCTCATAGTGAGTCAATTTAAGGCCCAGTAAGGATGGTTCAGAGTCCGAGTCGTACAAACTCGCTTGTTTCATATGTTTCACTAGGGCACATGTGATAACCGCATCAACTAGTTCCTGTTCGAAGGAGTTATCTGACGATTCAGTCTACCATGGGAGCATTGAAGTCTCCTAGGATTAAACATCGACCAATTTTTGACCAAGTATTGAGACTTCTTGGAAGGACCTCATCTACAGCTTGGACTGCGATAGACCAAACCAATCAGCAGCTATTATCCCTTGCATTTCAAGCAGCTATTAACCAATTCACACGTCCCGCTTTCATGGGATACACTGTCGATAATGTCAAACGGTATAGAATTCCTAATGAATAGAGCTACCCCCTCCTTTACGCTTTTGTATTCTGTTGATCCTTACTAACGTAAAACCTTCGAGATCAAGTTCCGAATAGTAAGGTAATGCAATTTGATGGCTTTTAAACAATCCACACCGAATCCTTCTGTTTGTTTAGTCCAGGGATATCACATAATAATAAGTTCAAACTAGAGTAAGCGTAGATAAGGCATCCTCATCCTCGTCTTTTCAATCTATCACTTCTATATAGGAGATAGTTCTCAAGAGATTTACTGAGATGGGAAATATTACTGTTACCCTATGCTTCAGATATCATTATAAGTGATGGTTGATATATGGGAACAAACAGAACTAAATCAGTCTTTTTGTTGTAGATCGTTCTAGCTTTGATAAGACACATTTTAAACAAACGGCCTACTAAGTTAAAATGAGTGAGAGTAACTCGATTAAAGATGTCATGACCCTCGCCGGTTTGATGTGGGTTTGAGGTGAGGGATTGAATGTTTTTCAATAGCTCTGTATTTTGATAGCTAGAGTTAGTGGGGGATGTATCAAATGAGCTAGTGAAGTTGCTTGGGGAGTTTACCCAGAAGAAAAGGGTCGGAGTACTTTCTGATGCGAACTGTACGGGGAAGCGACTTTATGTTCGGCGCGTGGTTTGAAATGACGTAGGCTATATGTTTCAACAGGGGCGCAGCTAGGGGCCTTATTCTCAAAAAATCTGGTACAGATTGACTGTAAACTGTACTGTTATTTGCAAAATATTTCTTAGTCTCTGTTATAGCTATTTACACTAGTGTGAGCATGAGAGGGTTCTGCTGCACGTAACTGGAAGTAGTTACGACTGTTATTATACATGGAGGCCGTTTTTATGTGGTGAGTTGGTACTGAGGGGTGTGTAAAGTTTTCATTCTCAGAATAATTACAATTGTGATCCTGGGGAATATAGATAGGGTGTGGGATGAGGAACCTGTAATTACCATGCTTATTGATGGTTTCAGGTTTTAGAGGGTGAGTGGAATGATCAGTAGTCTGTTAGTTTTTGTGTGTGTGCGTGTAAGAAGATTTGTTACGCTCAAGCATACTACCCATTGTGCGAGGTGTTGATGGCAAGTTACATAGTATCAGCGAGTAGAACCTATTCACTGCTGTTGGGATACCCACAGGACAGTTGGTCTCAATCTTACATGTTTCCTCATTTGGTATTGTGAATTTTATCTCCCCACCCTTTTTTGTAAGAGCTGAAGGGTTTCGTTGCCTCTGTGAGATGAACTTAGGTTCATTCGAGTCATCTTGCAGAGTATCATTTGGGGAATCAATTTTTAAATGAATATGTTCAGTTGGATTTGTTTCGTTACATGGCTCACACTTTAGTACTTTACTGAGCAAACAGCCGGGATCAGAGATGTCGTCACTCTTTTTAGTGACAGTTGGAGACCGTATCTTATACAAAGGTCTCTGATCTGCATACTCATCTAGATCTACGAATGGACCTGCCGTTCGTGGTATGACATCATGCTTGTTGTCCATGCGCTTTATATCATTCACTGTGTTGCATACTGTCTTTAGCTGGTTATTTACTTGAACTCTATCATACGATTCTATTGCTTCACGTCTTCTTATACGATGTTGACACGGTGTTATTTCAGGAGTGACTTTTATGCTTTTGTATGGAATTAATGAGCTAATATTTTTGCTCGAATCAATAAATTGTTCAGCATCTTTACAACAGCTAAGCTTAAACATTAGAGGGCAAGTCAATCTACCCGACGTTTTTCTAAGGCGGGTGACTTGGCAGTTGACTTTCGGCATTTCGCATGCTTTAAGGCAAATATCCCTTAAATTATTTGGGTGTGTGCAATCAGGGAGATTGTATACAATTGCGTTGTGGAAAGACATCACTCTTTTCGTCACAAACTCTAGAATACACTAAGCTTTAGTGAGTTGTTCAAGATTTTTTGTCATTATTAATACCCCATACGTGTGAGGGGTGCTAGTTGGTTAAGTCCGCTGTTAATTTCGGTTAGAGAGTTTTGTAACTGACTAATATCAGTACTATATCGATCAGTATTTTCGTAAGTGTGAGATAAACTGTTAGACTCTTTGGTTTTTGATAGTTTAGATTTAGGCCTTAGTAAAACATGCTGTTTGGCAGATTTTGTTGACTTTTCGATGCACGTGGGTATTTCACCTTTTATGTCAACTAGTCTTACCGCTGGCATACTGCACGAAGAGACAGAGGGGTTGTTACATGGAAAATGGGGTAGAGTTAGTGATATTTGTGGATAGGTAGCATGGGGTTCAAAAGATAAAGGTTTATCATTGTCAGGTAATGATTCATCAGTTGTAGGGGTTACAGAATTCGACCTTTTAGTAGGCTTGAAAATTGTTGAGATTTCTCTCTTACTAGAGTTACTTGACATAATTTGAATCTGGGTGAGCTTGTCTAACGAAAATATATATGAGTATATAGTTATTATTACGCATTAACAGGGTTAGTACTA